AGAATCCAGGCCGTCTGACTCTGGTGTCTGCCTTAATATGAGATGAACGGCAGGTGTGAGTAACCCACATTTTATTTCGCTCCTGTTTTGTACAAAATATAAACAGTTTGAGTATGGTGGTTTACATCTTAATGGGATAGATTACCCAAAAATATCAGTTCTGTCATCATTTACTCACCCTCATGCTTGTTTTAAACCTGTATGACTTTCTTTGTTCCACTGAACACAGGGATAACTGAATGAAAAGGAGCATCAGGTTTGGAACAACGTGAGGGTGCGTAAATGGTTGCACATTTTTTATTTCCGGGTCAACTGTCCTATTTTCAGCAGTCATTTCAGTCTGTTGAATTTTTGTAGGTGGAGACCAGACAGTGAGACAGAACTGTTTGCCCCTCTGTGGGTTCAGAGACAGCAAGAGTTGAGCCAGAGTGCAGGGTCATGGAGCAAGGCCAGCCACTGACAACAATGACAACTTCCAGGATTGAGCTGTAATCGCTAGTCTCCAAATATCCTTTGCACTTTGCCCCCATCTTTGTGTGGGCAAATAAAGGAAAGAAAGAGAAAAATACCAGAGGAAATCATATTAGAGGTAATGAGGCTGTTTGTTGACATAAGGGCTGTCCACATGGCAGAGCGTTGCTCAGAGGGGAACTATTGTTTGCCTAGTTATTCAAAGTTAAATCATTCATAGCAGACTTATATATAGACAAAATATATTTGATTCGCCAGACACAAAATTTTTTATAACACCATATCTCGGCACCTTTTACAAGAAATTGACTGAATTATGTAAAATCAGTTTTTCCTTAAAAAAAAAGAAATATTACAGAATGTGAAAAGTTTTCTTTTTTAATATATTTTAAAATATACTGTCGCGTGATCCTTCAGAAGTCCTTCTAATATGCTTTATCATCAATGTTATGTTATATGGTATTAACCTATTATCACCAATGTTAAAAGTTGTGCTGCTTAATATTTTTGTGGGCACCATGATACATTTTTTCAGGATTATTTGATGAATAGAAAGTTCGAAAGTACAGCAATATTGTGAAATAGATTTTTTTGTGATGGTATAAATGTCTTTACCGTCTCTTTTTATCAATTTAATGCATACTTGCTTAAAAATTTAAACACCACAAACTTTTGAATTGTATTGTATGCAATTCAATATATGTAATTTATTTTTTAGTAATATGCATAACAGAACTTACTATTAAATACTTTTTACTATTAACTAAATTGCCATTTTATTGAAAAAATAAGAAGATGGAAGCAAATCAGGTTAGATGGACAGATGAGATAAAGATAAATGGCTCTCATTTATTTTGATCTAAGCACCAAAAAAAGTGCTGCGCAACCATAAACTCAGCATCAGTTTTATCCCAGCATCAGTTTTATCCCATCCCCTTCTTACAGACAAATGACTAGAGAATTTTAGACTAGGTCAGTTAATGTGAAATCATTGGAGATGATTGATCATTATTGATCATGACAGACTTGATATAGAATGAGAGATCCAGTGATTTTACCTCATCTTCTCTCACAAGGGCAGAGTTTGTCCTCTAGCCTCTGTGTAAGTCGTGATTAACTTTGTCTCTCTGAGAATCCATATTCACAAAGACCAAGTCTTGTAGTGTATCAAATGAGCAAACAGAGTACATATACATTCACATTGTGTGTTACGCTTTACCTATAGATGGTGTTTAAGCTAGTGCTGTTGCTCCACCTGCAGGCCTCACACATAAACTCTAACCCCAGAGAACTTTGACACACCTATAGACATTATCAAATACCCTTGAGATTGAAAACCAAAAAGCCACATAATGGCAGAAATTGAATTAATTTGTGTGCCAAAATCAGTTTCTTCCATGCTATATGTTTATTATAATCTCTAATTAAGTTTTAACCAGTCATGATCATGATCAGACTATAGAGAAAGTATCCACACCACAATATTCATGAAGAGTCACATAATGATTTATGTAAGTTTACACCTAAAGAGACATTAAGGTGAAAATAGCACAATACATGGGCCTAACCCTTAGATTAATCTACACACAGAATTCATGAGCTAGAGCTGCTAGAGAAGAGAATCTGCCTGTTGGTAATTGACGACAGAGGCATAAGGGTGAGTCAGACACAGGCCAGTGTTTTGACAAGTGGATTAGGGAGGTACACTACCTAATTACAGTAATATGATTACACAACGACAGCTGGAGCACTGCCACCATCCTGCAGCCCGATCCCACCCACAGTGCAGTTCAGAGCACCTTAAACACCATCAGATCTCTGAACAACACCCTTAAAGGGTCAGTTCACCCAAAAATTCTGATTTTGATTCTGCTTTCAGGTGCTGATTTCCGAGTACATGGAGAACAAGCGCTGATTAAAACTGTTTATATACTGTAAAAAAAAAATTTTTTTTTAATTGTAAATAAAACAGATTAAAATGTTAGTTGCCATTTCTTTATAATTACTTGTGAAATTTTCTTGCAGTTTCTGACTGAAAATTGTGTCACTTTTTCCAGTGTTTCCAGTGTACTCTCATCCCTGCTTTTTGCAAAATATTCCTGATTTTTACCCCTAAATCAGTGTGTAAACTGCAGAAAAACTTCATCTACGTGATCACAACCATAAGTGGTAAGGAAAATGTGAAAGGATGCTTAATTTTTGTCTCTTTTCTTGTATGGTCTTTTTTTTCTTGCTGCTGAAAAATGTCTTTGAGTAGACCTTAGAGACAAAGAGCGGACGTCCCATCAGCAAGCCCTCCTTGTAAGTGGTCTTTTCATGCTGAGGGTCCTTCCGTTAACATTGACAGCATCTGCTGTGCTCGTGGCTTAACAATTAATTAAAACAGATGGACCTGTTGCATCAGATGGCACATTAGTGTGACATTGAGTCCAATATCAGATCTGTAGACTGTAGACAGGTCTGAGAAGATTCTTATGGTCTTCCTCCTCTATTATCATCATCTGTATGTTGGGTCACCATATGGATTTACAGTGTCTCACAAGTTACTGCTGCCATCTGCAGATTCAAGGCTGCACTTATTCATGTCATCGGTTCTCCAATGAAAATCAGTACAAACACACATACACACTACAGGGAAAAAATAGATGTCAGAATGTGAGCTATAGCTGTGGGGTCACAGCAGAGATAAGTCCAAAAACATGCTTCCCATAACAGGATGTAGGAGTGTGCTAAAATACACCAAATCCAGCAGTGCTGGTGCTCTCCAATCTGACTGACTCACAGTTCAAACATTGCAATGGCATTAGTTTCCAGCATCATTTTTCCATTTCAGTCCCAACATTATTTCACTAATTCACTTTTACATCTAGTGAGATTCAGAATGAATCTCAGAGGAGGGCAAACATTCCAGTCACAAATTCTTCCAGCCATTTAAGGTCAGAAACCTTCCTCATGTGAGGGAGTGCACTTGATATAAATGCTGTATTTTTGTATAAATGTTTCTGGATCTCTGATAAAAGAAAGGCAGGCAATGTCTCCAAATACTGGAAATGTCTCAATGGGGGAAAATACTATTGTTATTATTACAAATTTCATTAAAAGTAATTTATTATTGCTAATTGTTATTCTTTTTTAAATTAAAGCATTATTTTTATTCTATTAAATGTATAATAATAATAAAATATTTAAAAATTAAAAAATAAATATATTTTTAACAGTTAAAAATAATGTTTTAATTTAAAAAATAATTTATTTAGTTTTATATTACTGTACATATACTTGATTAATTTTTAATATAACAGTTCATATACACTTCTCATATTAATAAAGCTAGTGCCCGCAAGCTATTTTCATTATTGCCATATTGTCATTTAAAGTCTGATTCAGCTTTTCGGTTACTGGAATAATTTAAACGTATAAACAACACTATTGTGTGCTGTCAGTCAAGGGTGGCACTTGCCTCTTCAATAAGTGAGCAAACCTGGGTGAAGTACAAGGTCCAGAATTTGGCAAAATCCTATGAATATGCATTTATCATCAAAATGATCATATTATGTAACCACAAACTAGCATTTACGTACTTTTTTGTCTATTTGTGCTTGTTTTTAGTAACCTTGTGAAGTCAGAATCTAGGCAGCAGTGGGAAATCTAATGAACATATGGTGTTTGGTCTACATTACAGCGGCCATACGGTGAGGTAGTGCTCTGGAATTATGGGTCATACACGCAGAGATATTGGTAGGAAGTCATCAGAAGTTGCTCTTCCTCACAGAGCACCGAGAGGAAAGAGTGAATAGACAAGAATATGGCCCCACACCAGCCTCCTGGGAAAAGTGTCCGAGCTCATCAGGAAAGCCATTAAAAAAACAGTGTGCTTCTGACTAAGGACAGCGGGGGCAACAATCACTCCGTAGTAGGGAAAGTATGCGCTCGCTGATGATACACGCTGAGCAGCCAAACAAACAGGAGGAAATGTGCGAGCCGATGAGTGAGGAAAAAACATGGCGGCGGTCAGGATGGTAATACAAACTTAGAGGGGTGTCCCGCGCAGATGGTGCACGTTCCCAGAAGGGAGGAGATCAAATACTCTGCAGAGTGTCGGAGCAGGGAATGTATTACTCATACTTCTGTAGAACAAACTCCCACTTCCTGGGCAGGTTGATGTGGGAATCTCATTCCCCTGACTAATCCAGCAAATGGACAGCCTGGAATTTCTGAACATTCTGGTTTTGGTTTCTGGGGGAAAGTGGAAGAGATGCTAACTCGTAACAGGGCTAACTTTCAACCACATGTTTATTTCTGGCTCTGAAAAAAAAAACGAGAATATAGCCTTGAATGAATGTTATACAATGACATGCTGGAATAGACACTGTCAGGAACTATGAATAATCCTGAACTCTTGTTAGGTAAAAGGATGTGGGTTTAGAACTAATTATTTTATACGTAGTAAAGTGGTGAGAGTACATGGTGATTTCAATGGCCTGTGTCAATGGAGCCCTTCCTTTAAGAGCTGTCAGCCATTCACAGTCTTTTTGGTTAAAATAGCTTTATTCAGTTCAAAAGAGTCATGTTAATAAAAAAATCACAGTAAATTGTTATTAAAAAAGCAACACATTATTTGTGGTCCTGCCTGGGCACTCAGTCAACTGTAGAAAACATGGGAAGGGAACGAACGAAGCTCATCTTTGTTGGACGGCCACACAACAAAGAATCGTCTTTGACATCTAAAGGCCACACATGACTTTAAGTCTAACAGAATAAGCAAAAAAACAAAAACAAAACTACAACAGTAAAAACAGACTGATAACAGTAGCTGCCACATGACACATGGCTAGTCTCATTGTATTACTAAAACTGCTGAAGCGTCTCGTCCAATGTATTCAAGAAGTAATACTTTTGGCAGACACAGTTAAGCTTGTAACATGTTTTTGATTTGCTTGGAGGTAGTCTCATCATTCAAATGTTTTGTTGTGTACCTGTGAGTCGAGAGAACATTAAAAATCCACTGAAAACATACCACAACAAGTCATATGGATTTGCATCAAAATTTACTACAACAAGTAATGTTGTAAGGTATAAGCTATACTGTAAGAGTTTTGTAAGAGTCCAGTAAAGCTCACAGACCTAAGGGCATTGAGAAGCCCCTCCACACTGTTGGGCGGCTGATATCGCAGAACCTTAATGCATCCTTTCATCTGTATCATACAAAGACAGACAATAACATTTTGTATTTGTATTTTGAATAAGGTTTTGTATTTGTATATACAGTAATTTGCTTTTAATTTGGGTGATCTATAGTATTTAGCACATTAATTTTGTATAATCAAAAAACAATACTTATTTAAATTAGAAATTACTGATATAAATGCTTATTTGGTGATCAAATGCATTCATTTTTAATATGCTTTTACCATAATGTTAAATTGACAGCCCTAATTAACTTTACAAATATAAAATCTGTTAAAAAATATTTAATCACTTAATCAGTGACAGTAACCATGTATTTGTATTTTTAGTCAGGCTTTGTATTTGCATATAGTTTGCTTTTAATTAGGTACATTTGCACAGTAAGTATAATTTAGTAACTATTAAAAAAATTTGAATTTATTTTAAGACCCATATTGAGAGCCCTAATTATTTACAAATATAAAATCTATTTAAACATTTTGATTAAATCAATTAATCCGCATATTAATGAAATTAAATTAAATGAGTACATTTGAATAAAATAACTTTTACTAAAAGGATCAGAAAGCAGAATAAGGCATACATCGATTTTGGAGGATTTAACAGTAGCTGCCACATGACACATGGCTATTCTCATTGTATTACTAAAACTGCTGAAGCGTCTCGTCCAATGTATTCAAGAAGTAATACTTTTGGCAGACACAGTTAAGCTTGTAACATGTTTTTGATTTGCTTGGAGGTAGTCTCATCATTCAAATGTTTTGTTGTGTACCTGTGAGTCGAGAGAACATTAAAAATCCACTGAAAACATACCACAACAAGTCATATGGATTTGCATCAAAATTTACTACAACAAGTAATGTTGTAAGGTATAAGCTATACTGTAAGAGTTTTGTAAGAGTCCAGTAAAGCTCACAGACCTAAGGGCATTGAGAAGCCCCTCCACACTGTTGGGCGGCTGATATCGCAGAACCTTAATGCATCCTTTCATCTGTATCATACAAAGACAGACAATAACATTTTGTATTTGTATTTTGAATAAGGTTTTGTATTTGTATATACAGTAATTTGCTTTTAATTTGGGTGATCTATAGTATTTAGCACATTAATTTTGTATAATCAAAAAACAATACTTATTTAAATTAGAAATTACTGATATAAATGCTTATTTGGTGATCAAATGCATTCATTTTTAATATGCTTTTACCATAATGTTAAATTGACAGCCCTAATTAACTTTACAAATATAAAATCTGTTAAAAAATATTTAATCACTTAATCAGTGACAGTAACCATGTATTTGTATTTTTAGTCAGGCTTTGTATTTGCATATAGTTTGCTTTTAATTAGGTACATTTGCACAGTAAGTATAATTTAGTAACTATTAAAAAAATTTGAATTTATTTTAAGACCCATATTGAGAGCCCTAATTATTTACAAATATAAAATCTATTTAAACATTTTGATTAAATCAATTAATCCGCATATTAATGAAATTAAATTAAATGAGTACATTTGAATAAAATAACTTTTACTAAAAGGATCAGAAAGCAGAATAAGGCATACATCGATTTTGGAGGATTTTACGAAAGCTCCAGCTGGATGGACATAGTCGTATAAGATGATCACCCCCACCATCACACGCAGGCAGAATAACACTGTGTCCTCACTGGCAAATCGACTGTGGTACTCCCTGATCAATACACACACACACACACACACACAGAGGATAAATTAACAAGTTACAGCCTGCTACAGAAGAAACAAAAGGCCAATAGTTAAACAAACATATCAACTTACGGTGTCTCTAACATGACTTTACACACACTTGCCATCGTACTCAGACAATCTGTTGTGTTCTCTACGGGCAGTTCTGCATGCTGATCAAATAGAGAGCGCAAAATGTGTTAGTTACGATGGTTTGTAATGAGAAAACAGTGTTTTGGAAGTGAAAGTGATCGAGAAACATTCTTGTATAGATGTGTTGCCAAAGTATATCATGTACTTTTTTGAGACTAATTAAGTAGAATTTATTCATGAGCATCTGGACTTGTTAGTCGATTTTTTTTAACATCCATTTGAGTGGTTTGAATTGTGTAAGGCTTGTTATAATCAAAATACAGCAGATTTTAACAATCCCCTACCTTTGATACAAATTTAGTTGTGGCATCGCTTAACGTTTTCAGCATGGGCGTGGCATTGGCGTAGAAGAGAGACATGCGATTGGCCAGTTCGTTGTCAACCTCATTATGCTCTTCTGCCTGTAGAAAGAACATGCATGGATTTTTTTCAGTATCCAAGTGTGAAAAATTCATACTTTTAAAGATTTAAAATAAAAGGTGTCAGTTCAGGCGTTGGGCTTTTTGGAGGTTACGGATGCGCTTTTCCTTGGTCAGCTTTACTTAGTAGTTAATCATGGAAATGGATGTGGAAACTGGGCATTCTGGTGCACTGAAAATGCATTTTAGCTGACTTGAAACATTTCATTCATTACTGTATGCTAAAAACTGAATGTAAATCCTGCTTAAATCCACAGACTGTAGACATGTCCAGAATTCCTAATACATGCTCTTCCACAGCCAAGCTCATGTTCCATGAGATGAAAGTGGCTGTCGTAATTATTCCTTGCAGAGAGTGCTTTTAATTGGCAAGGCAAGGTCAACGATCCTCGGTGTCAACCCCTGCTGAGCCGCTCCCTGATGATACAGCACGTGCTAATGAGCCTGAAGTCGTTAGCACGCATTACCGACTCAACGTCAACCGAACACACTTCAACTCTGTGTCAGCTAAAAGATTTTGCGGGAGGGAGACATACGAAATAAATAGCAGGAAAAGATAGAGAGGTTTAGATGAGTGCGATATTTCATGTTTCCCTGAGTCAGGATCTTGTGCCACTCTGCCACCTAATGATCGAGACCATTAGAGAACAGAAGAGCTCCCATTAACCCCTGTGACATGGGGGGATGGGGAATCACTACAACATAAGCTGTCTGAAAATGAGGCACATTTCCATACGGAGCAGGTTCACTCACTGTTTGGTTGATGATACGCATGCGGCTCAGGGTTCTTCTGTAGTAGCTGAAGTCATTCTGGATGGCTGGGTTGGTCATCTGTAGAGAGAGCAGGTGAGCATTTAAATGCATAACTGGCAGCTGAAAATTGCATTTCTGCTAAATATGGGAATGGGAAACATGTAAACACGGCATTCATGCATTTGTAATTTTACTGTGAATGTATGAATTCAAGTGAGCAACTAGAAAATCAAAAGAGCATATGGCCATTTCATCCACTGCTGGTTTTTGTGACAGACTTCATCAGTGCAGTAATCTAGACAATATTCTCTATGGCACCTTTGAAAGCAACTGCACTAATGCCGAGTTCACACTGCACAATTTTAGCCCGATTTTTCACTCGCCGACAGGTTTTGCGAAATCGCCGACAAATGCCTGAAATCGGAGGCAAATCGGTGCTCGTTCACGCGAGTGACAATCACGCAGTGTGAATTATCAATAATTTAATCAAGAATTATTATAATTATTATAATCCTGCTGTGTGAAATGAGTTCTGACTGAAAAACACATCGGCGATGACCTACAGCCAATGAGAGACCAAGATACAGGGCAGCGGGAAGTTCGGGGAGGAGTTATATGAAATGTAGTTTGCGGACCAGTGTTGCCAAATCCACGATTGCCGCCGGTTGTTTTTCATGTCAGCAGGTTGAAGCGACCCCAATAACGTGATATTGAGGCCCTGGAATGTGAATTGTACCAGGAGAACCCCACCAAAAAAATGTTTATTTTTACTGGGGGACCCCCTCGAAAGCAACTGGGCTATTTTCAGGCTAGTTTTGAGTAGTAATTGGGCAGGTTTTGTACCAAAAACCTGGCAACCCTGCACCAGACAGAGTTATCGGTGATTCTCCCTATTGTAAAGTCATGCAGTGTGTAACCTCCTGTCGTCGTTCCATCGTGCAGTGTGAACACAGCAACAACTGAATGCTACCCCAGATAGTCGTTCAGTGTGAAACCAACAGTGATTGAAAATCTTCTGATTGAAAAACCGTCTTTGAAAATCGTGCAGTGTGAACTCGGCATTAGTTTTCCATTAATTTGACTAATTGGTTGCAACTGGACTTTGTGTTCCATTAGTTCAACTAATTAGCTGAATCACTACAGAGCTAATTAAGTTAACTAATTGGATACAAAATTCAGTGGCTTACAAATAAATTCTATCATACACATTCTCTATCGCTATTGCATTATGTGTGATACAGTAGTTGCTATCAGTTTCAGGACAAGACTGAGAAGATTTTTTTTTTTTTTGTGATGAATAAACGAGTTAATAATATATGATTCTACTTTAAATCATAATTTAAAAGGATATAATTGCATCTGAAGACAGTAATTATTACAGAAGCTATATTTCCATCCAAAGCTGAGAATTTAACTTGTGCGCAAAATTGGTTTCCATCGTAGTTTATGCACGTTTTCTTATCAGATAAAAAATGTATCTAACTCAGATGAGCTCTTAATGTTTTTTTTGCACATCTTGGCATTTCCATTCAGCGTTTTTTTAATGCGATAACCCAAAATACACATAAAAATAGGTGGATGGAAAAATAGCTAGTGAAAGCTTAAGTAAAGTTTTTTATACCTCCTCCCACCCCCATCACTGGTACCCCCTCACAAAAAGAAGTGCATGACACCCTGTTCTAGCAAAAACGATAGACTTCTCTGTAGTGATGTATGCAGGACTTCACCTATCATTTATTCCACTTAAATCCCGCCCCTGCAAGCTCACGCTAATCTGCCTCCGTTTTTGAGAACAATGCCCACACCTCAAAATCCAATCAACAAGCAATGTCTTTTTACATATTATCTACATGTTTTCCTTTTCGATAATCCATTACACTCAGCTGTGCATCATAATGTGGAAGAAAAGATCTGTCAGTATTTTCGTTTTTATCTGGACTTGACTTGTAGTCAGCATAAAATGAAAATTCACCTGGATCTTCTGTTTGATGGCATATCAAATGGCCATCCCTTTCTTACTCACATTCAGATCTCCCTACATCCAATCAACAACTGATTAATAGAACCAAGAAAGAGATATTGCATAATCACTGCAAGTATAAATATAATTTACAGATTGGTCAGATGTGTTAATTACAGATTTTTGGAGGTCTGAGATTAAAGACAGGATGCTGGAGTCCCACTAACAACACTTTTGCTCCACATCCTCTCATTCTACCTAATTGTTGATTTCGCCCGTCTTTTTCTGAAGCAGGTTAGGAAGAGATGGTTCCAAGAAGGATTAGACATGTGCAGAATGGGTGTGACCTGAGGTTGCCTGGTTACCTTCAGCTCATCGAAGCGCAGTGTGAAATGCAAAATCTCAGCGAACTGCCGTGCCAGCGCCTGCTCCTGCTCCAGATGTTGAGTTGGGCTGCAGCGCGAGCTGGTGAGAAACTCCAACAGGCCCTGCAGAGAGTCTTCTACACAAGACACAGAAGAAACAGAACTGCTAATGTTTTTGGTGGATAGAAATATAGATAATACTGGGTTATGGTCACTATATTTTGACAAAAACAGGCAGAGAAACAGAGTGTCTGGCAGAGAGATATTAGGTCAGTCTGACCCTTTGATGTTTCACCAGAGCCTCTCCTCCAGAGAGCGCTGCCATTGGCTGGTGATGATGTGTGATTAAGGGCCATGTCATGTTTAATTAGGTCATGACCTATTTCTCAACATCAAACCCTCCATCTGAATCACTCAAACCCACAGACTTACAAGCACAGACAGACAGCACAAAAAGTAAATACAACCACACTTTCACAGAGCATATCACATACTTTGAGACATACAAGATTATGAGACACTAAATATTTCTGGGAAAAAAAAAACTGATTAACAGAACAAATTAGTTATTATGGCATTTCCCATTGCTGCACCAAGTACAGTATCAATCTTTGGATTTTAGTAGAATTTTCTAAATGATATGTGATTTTCCACATCAACTGTAACATCCATGTCACAGTTACAAATTGTAATTTGTTACTGATTCCAGTAACGTAATAGTAACATAATCCATTACATTACACATTTCAGGTAATATAATCAGACTACTTTTTGATTACTTTTGACTTGTTTATCACATTAATTTAAATAGGATAATCTTGTACAATATTGATATAAAAATACAAAGAGTAAGAAAATATATCCCATTCATGTTTTATCAATATGCATGTTTTGTGGGAATCAAACTCAAAAGCTTGCCTTTGTTCGAATCATGCTACATCAGTTGAGCTACATATGTAGGTTACAGCTAACATACGCTACCGTAAGTTTGATGTCACTAAGATTTTTTTTTTTTTTGGAAAGAAATTTATATTTATATTCAGCGAAAACACACAAATTCATCAAAAGTGACAGTGAAGACATTTATAATGTTACAAATTTGTTTCAAATTTCAATTTCAAATAAATGCTGTTTTTTTTTCTAGTCATCAAAGGATGTATCAAATGTTTTCAACATAACAATAATAAGAAATGTTTCCTGAGTGCCAAATCAGCATATTAGAATGACTTCTGAAGGATCATGTGACACTGAAGACTAGAGTAATGACTGCTGAAAATCAGAAAACAGTCATTTTAAACTGTAATCTTATTTCACAATATTACTGGTTTTACTGTATTTTTGATGAAATAATGACTTGGTGAGCATTAAGAGACTTCTTTCTTTTTAATGGTTCTGAACATTCCAAAAAATATATATTTCAAGGATAATGAATTTATCATTAAGTTACAGAAGATCTGGGGTGTGTACTGTCAGAGATGACGAGCTGTGTTTTTGCTAGATGTGGTGAAAGAAACTGGCCTTGCCCAAAGAGCGCGCTAATCCAATTATGACGCACTGCTGCTCTGTCTATGACTTACTCCCTGGGAACATGTGCTGAATCACAACAGAAATACTGTACAACTTCACAGGAATATTAAAATATTTTGAAAAGATTATTTACTGTTGTACAATGTTTTGCAAAAGGTCATGTAGCTGTGATTCAACTGTAGGCTTGAGTCCTTATTTTCATTACAAATGCAGCCTTGCTCATGTGACATTGCACATATTCATACTGACTTGTTATGTATAGCTACAGGTGCATCTCAATAAATTAGAATGTCGTGGAAAAGTTCATTTATTTCAGTAATTCAACTCAAATTGTGAAACTCGTGTATTAAATAAATTCAATGCACACAAACTGAAGTAGTTTAAGTCTTTGGTTCTTTTAATTGTGATGATTTTGGCTCACATTTAACAAAAACCCACCAATTCACTATCTCAACAAATTAGAATAAGGTGACATGCCAATCAGCTAATCAACTGAAAACACCTGCAAAGGTTTCCTGAGCCTTCAAAATGGTCTCTGTTTGGTTCACTAGGCTATGAGTTGAATTACTGAAATAAATGAACTTTTCCACGACATTCTAATTTATTGAGATGCACCTGTATATGACAGTAGGGCGATTTCAGCTCTTTGATTACATTTGTTTAAATGAGAAAAGCACACGAGTAAGAGCATATGAGCTGATGTAAGGACAGTTTAGTAATGCCCAGTCTTATATAATCTCACTATTGCCGGCTGCTGACGTGTGTGCTGGTACAGTAATGTGTTTGATAATACTGATGAATTAAACCTCAAGAAGAATCACCTTACTGAAAATCAAAACACAGTCCAGAGCAGATGCTAATACTACAGTATATGGTAAATGGGTCAGTGGACCATGTATCCCTGTGAGGAATTGTGGGAGAGTAGATCATTAAAAATATCTTCTCATTTATCACCTATGCCTCTGGGTAAAAATAGCCATACATGTTATTATTTATAGTTCTGTGTGCTGTGCACATTAAAGCAAAGAGAATAATGACATACCCAGTTTTAGTGAGAACTCATAAAACTTCTTTAGTTTGCCAACCAGCGGTACCACAGCGGCCCACGCACTCTCTTGCACACGCTCATCATTGGAATGCTGTATGGCCTGAGGAGACAACATGCAGACGCTTAAACAGAACATTCCTTACAAACAGAAATAAAGAGAGCTTGTCATGGAAAGTAACATAAAGCCCCGGCTAATGTCTAAACAATCTGAAGTGCATTATGAAAGTACTCGCCTGTCTGATGGCTTCACCTGCTCCACTATATGACTGCAGGTCCTGTAATACACTCACAGCCTCTGTTAGCACCTCATTGACCTCCTCCCATACTCTCTTTTCGGCTTCTGTTGGCTTGGCATCTACAGAGGAGAAATCAGCTAAGTCTTAAACGTGCTTAAATTGAAGACAGGGTGTAATTGCTTAAATTGTATCCATATATTTATATTTTTGGTTATTCACTATTTATGTTTTTGAAAAGATGTTTTTTTTTCCTATTAGAGGAACTGCCATTTCATCCATTGTAGCTTATAAGATGCAAGAAATTCAATACAATAAAAACATAGTTATAAATGATAAAATCTTATTAAATATAGTTATTAAATAACAATAATAATAATAATTATTATTATGAAATAGTCTAATAGTAATAGTAATTATTTATTAATTATATATGATTATAGTAATTAATAATAGTTAACCGTAATTAGTAATAATAATTATTAATGTTATTTATAATAATTATTATTATAATTATTATTATTTACAATATAAATATTACTTAAATACAATGATATTAATATAATTAATACTTAATGTTATTTACAATAAAAATATTATTATAATATTCACAGTGTTGTTTCATTTTATATCATCAGCAAAATTACTGTCAATAAATTGTGAGTAGGTGACATTTCTCCCAGCCCTCAACATCAGATAATATAGGTTGTAACTGTATATTCACTTACTTTCAAAGTCCAGGAAAAAGTTCCCTGCGTTGTTGTCAATGTCTCGTGTGAGAACCTTAATCAGATTCCCCATCCCGACCTGTCGGAGACCTAAAAGATAAGATAAAAAGGAAAAGTAATATAAAATACTTTCTGAATGATGATTTTTGCATGTGATTTGTGGCTTAGTGACACTTTTAATGTCAATGAAGGTGTAAACACCATTTGATTTGCCTATACAAGAACACATTCAGGTCGACTCAAGAACTGTGACACCTGTGCTCACGACAACAACATCTGGCCACATGTATGTGTGTGACAGGCAACATCTGCTCAGGACAATGCAGAAAATCAGGGGAGACCCAAATGCTGCTGCATTACCCTCCTGAACACGCACCCCAGTTTGACTGCAGGTGAGAGGACACATGCTGCTGAGAATGCAGTACGACTGCAGCACTCATGGGTGGATTCTACTGCAGGATCATGACGCCCTCTAGCAGTCAAAGTGTTTCTATAGTTCACAATTGACACTCCGAAGTCCCCCTCCCTTTGGGCTGAGGGTTAAATCGTTGTAAGAATCATACGTTCCCTGAAAAGAGCACACTCTCATTCTTATTCATCCGCTCTGAGCTCAGCGCTCCCGCAGTGAGTCACTGCCTACAACAGATTAAATAACATCATGAAAAACCAGAGGATCCTCAAGAGGAACAGACAGACCTCAGAGTTAAACAGCATGTCAACTTATTCAAAGGCCAAAGTCAGAATTTTGTGTTCAAGCCGAACAGAAACTTTCTTTATTTCTTTGAAGGACTTTGCTTCTCCTCTAAACGAACAGCCTTGAAAGTAGGTAAATGGGTCGTTACAGTGTCTCACTGAACTACAGTGCATTCTGCAGTGTGAGTGGGGGTGTGTTGTCTTTATATCTTGGCATACTCATGTTCTCATGGCATTCAGAATTTAAAGGACCAAAGGGAGTAAATAAGCACTGCTGTCTTGATCTGTCTTGAACCGCCTAAGCCCCCCTTGTCAACTTTACACCCCTCAGACTGGGGGGGATGGTACCATCTAAACTGAGGTTGCTTATTTGACTACAGCATATACACCCTGCAATCCTATTGGCTAAGGAGGGAGACCGAACATTCTGCTGTTTCCATGGAGCCTAAAAATATTTTTCAACCCAAAATGTGCTGGCAGCCAATAGGAGTGGAGCACAGGAGTACTGGCAGGACTTAAAAGAACCTGAATAAATTAATCACGAGTGCAGCACTGGGAAAAGAGACATGTGACTCAAAAACAAATTTAAACTCAAAAGTGGAACAGTTTGACAGGGTAAACCTCACAAGCTTTCTTGAATGTTTAAAAAAAAACTCCAGTTCTACAAAAGATACAATCAAATTATAGATAAACAAACTGTTAAAGCAAAACATCACTCAAGGTCGAGTATTACTGTGATTTTACCACAGGAAAGGGGTGTTTTTAGGTAGATGCAAAGCTTTTAAAAAACTGTCAAATAAAATTAATAAATGAAATTAGTAAGGCTAACACTGTGATGATAATGAAGTTACTTGATAATATAATAATAAATGATTATGAATATTATATAAGTAATTGGCAACACATTATTTTAATTACCAATTCTCACTATTCACTAGCATGCATATTAATAGCATGTTGGCTGTTTATGAGTATTTATAAAGCACATATTAAAGCCTTATTCTGCATGACCATATTTTAGATACCTTAATACAACCCCATACCTAAACTTAACAACTACCTTACTATTAACTATCTACATATATACATGTAAAAATATTTAATACGTTAATAAATATAACATTATTGATTTATTCTGTATTCAGAATCTCAGTGAGCTAGCTGAAACCCCAGTTACTATTAGCACTGTACTCATCTCAGTTCATAACAGTGGTGCTGTTCTGAGAGAGCGAGAGAGAGAGAGAGAGAGAGAGAGAGAGAGAGAGAGAGAGAGAGAGAGAGAGAGAGAGAGAGAGAGAGAGAGAGAGAGAGAGAGAGAGAGAGAGAGAGAGAGAGAGAGAGAGAGAGAGAGAGAGAGAGAGAGAGAGAGAGAGAGAGAGAGAGAGAGAGAGAGAGAGAGAGAGAGAGAGAGAGAGAGAGAGAGAGGCGTTGCTGACGAGAGAGAGAGAGAGAGAAAGAGAGAGAGAGAGAGAGAGAGAGAGAGAGAGAGAGAGAGAGGCTTTAGATTATGGGTGTGAATGCAGTTTCCTCCCCACTGCAGTACTTGTGCACCAGGCGTTTGACAGCATGTGCCTCCACGTGTTTTCGCCTCCACTACTACTACTGCCACCCAACCAGAGAAGAATACGACCCCACCCCACCCCTTTCCTCCCCACTCCCGCTTCATACGACAGAGCGCAGAGGGAAGTCACGTGGGTGGAGGGGAGGCTCTGCTCTGCAGTGAGGCGGTCTGCGGCAGTGCAGAGAGCACAGACAGCGCTCCTCTTGACCCAGATTCCACCGCTGCCACGTCACACTGGCTTAACATTAAGCCCAGCATGGCAAGACATGGACAGATATGCTGCAGGTTGCCCCCAGCAGACACGGCTAATAATACGCACGCACGCCTCTGGCCACACAGAGTCTATCTCTTCGATTAAAAATGAAATTAATCAAGCTAACAATTAATGTGATGATACTAAATGTAATATATACATACATTAAAATTACTTCATAATTCATGATTAATATAATGACTTATGAAATTATGATTAATGATTTATATTAATTTAATATCAATACAAATTACTAAAACTAACATTGTCTTTATTGCCATCAGTTATTATAATGATGTTAAGTATAAAAAAGATCATTTAATAATAAATATATAACATACATAGTCATATTTTATAAATTAAATATAGTAATAATATTGATGATTGTTAATATTAATAAAATTACAAAATTAAATATAATCTTTAATATGCATATCAAATGAAATTACTAACACTAAAACGGTCTTCACTTATTATGATGATAATAAAAGTTAAAATCATATAATGTTTAGGATATATACAATAATAATATTATATTATGTTATATGTAATTTCTTATATTACATATTGTATTACATATAATATTCATTATGATTTATATAATAGTAATGAATTCATAATATATATAATTTATATAAATATCAAATAAATTAACAACACATAAAATATATAAATGATACTATAATATATATTTTAATAATTCAAGCATTTTATTGTATATAAAATATAATTATATTTTCATAATTTAATATATATATATATATATATATATATATATGCTTCTTTTCCATTTTGCATTTACTTGTACTTTTACTTTCAATACTTAAGTACGTTTAAGATTATAAAAATACTTTTTGTACTTAAGTACAATAAATATCACATACTCTAAGACTTTTACTCGAGTAATATTCTAAACGGTGACTTCAACTTCTACCAAAGTCATATTCTGGTAAGATATCTGTACTTTTACTTGAGTATGGCTTTCAGGTACTTTATACACCACTCTCTGCACCCTTCATTTAGACCCTATAAATACCACAGGACAATCAGATTTAATAAAAAATATTGTTGGTACATTAGCCATGACACATCTGTTAAGAATCTGTCTGCTATGAAACAATATTTCTGTGATTTTTCAGTGATTGCCCATATTTCTTCAGAGCAGACGATGTTATTCAGATCCGCAGCTGTACACAATCTGATTAACCTGTGTTAGGAACACAGCTGAACTTCAACCTAAAAATGAACCCCACATCGCCCACAAATCATCTCTCATCTGCCCATGGATGTGAGAGACGCTAAATCCATCTGCCCAGAAGCTAGAAGAGATGCAGGCACAACTTCCACCCTCCTCCCCATCATTCTCCCCGAAGCACACAGAGCTGTCAATGAACTGACACAGAGAATTACACATCTAACTAGACTCATGATGACCTTTAAATGTAAAGCTTAATATGACCTTACACATGATACTTGACTTTAAACATTTAGATCAAGATACAATGTTTCAAGGTGACGTGACCTTGAAAAAACTACAGAAATACTATTTCATCGCTACTTCATAACAGGAAGGTTACAGTATCTGTGTACAGACACTGTAAACTGAAGAGTTTTATTGCCTCCTGGTGGACATCAGAAAGCTATGTTTTGAAATGACTTCCAGCAGGACCTTGCCTTTCTGACTTCAGATCAGGGATGTGCAACATTCAGAATTCAGTTGAGAATGCACTGTAATTTTTGTAAAGCACTTTTAAAACAGCCTCGAGACTGACCAAAGTGCTGTACATGAGCAGAATAACACAAATACAATATAAAAAATAATCAGAATAAACATAAGCAAAGTACACAAATACCAGATTTAAAACAGAAACAAAGATCAACAATTAACACATGTTAAAAGCAAGGGAAATCAGATGAGTTTTCAGAAAAGATTTAAAAACTGGTAAAGAGGGGGCCATTCAAAGTTGTACTGGCAAGCTATTCCACAGTCGACCCACCACAGAAAAGGTTCGATCCCCTCTGCGTTTTAGCCTTGAGCAAGGGATTGTCAATAAGTTAAGTTTACCAGATCTTAAACTTCTGGGAGGGTTATAGGGACACAGTAAGTCAGACAGGTATTTTGGGTATGTAGGCATTTATACACAAATAGAAGAATTTTGAAGTCAATCCTGAAATGGACTGGAAGCCAATGGAGGGCTCGCAAAATGGGGGTGGCGTGGTCATATGTGCGACCATTTTTAAGAAATTTAGCTGCAGCATTTTGAACCAGTTGATGTCGAGCTACCTGAGACTTGGAGATACTGTAAAACAAAAAGATGCAATAATCCAAACGCAAAGTTATAAAAGCATGGATAACTGTCTCAAGAGACTTTTCAGACAGAAAATGTTTTATCTTAGAAATTAAGCGAAGCTGGAAAAAACTAGAGTCAACAACGGAGGACACATGTTTATCTAATGTTAGCCGACTATCAGTGAGGACACCAAGATTACGTAGCTTGAATTAAAAGCAGACAGATTGCCCAGTGCGGTATTATTAAACTCAGATTTATCAGATGGACCAAAAATTATAATCTCAGTCTTAGA